CCTGACGGGTGAAATCGGCTCTAACGGGACCCGTTTCCGGGCCTGGCTGCAAATGGGGAACCGGGGCCTGCGCCCCCCGACTCCTGCTGCGGGGGCCCGAGGGGGGAGGGAGGCCATGCACCGGGGGAGGCTTCTGCGAGAAGACCGCCGAGCGCTTCCAAAGCAGAAATTCCACCGACGGAAAGGGTGCCGTCTTGGGGTCAAGTATGTGTTAAGGGGGGCCCATCAGGATTGTCTCCCTCCTGCCAAACCTTCAGGGAGTTCCCAGCCTCCCCCCAGCGAGGAATGCCACTATGTTTCATTTGCATTTTCCCCCTGTCATCGGAGTTCCCTGCTACCATTGTTCCTTCCCCGTCCCTTAAAGGGAAGAAAAGAAGTTTAGGGTTCAGTAAACCTGCGACAAGGGCAGTAAAAAAAAAAAGAAGAAGAAGGGGAGAGAGTGGTTAAGGCTGTAAATGGGGGAAAGGAAGGTCTCGCCCTGGCCGCTGTGGCTCAGTTGGTTGAACGTTGTCCGGATTCCCCGTTAGGGCACCTCCCAGGTTGCGGGGCTTCGATCCCCTATCGGGGAACATATGGGAGGCAACCGATCGATGTTTCTCTCCCTCTCCCTCTGCCGTCGCTGTTTCTTTCTCCCTACCCCTCTCTTTACAAAAATATATTTATTTTTTTTTGGTAAGGAAAAGTCTTATTTTTTACCCCATTGTTCCTTGGAGGTAGAAATATACGAACGATGCTTATTCTGGTTGACATTTATTATTCAAAACATTGCAGAACGTCATGTTCCGTTGACGTTGGAAAGGACAGCGTTTAAGTGCCGCTGCAATGTTCAAACCCAGGTTGGCTGGAAATGATCGTTTGAAATGATAGTTTTAGTAAACAGTGGAGGCAGAAAGCAACCCTTTCCTGTGACTGATGGCCTTAAAATGTTTGTGATCTTTCCTTCCCATTTCACTTTTTGCGGCTAAGACCATGGCTGTCTATTTATTTATATTATTTGAACTTGATTTCTTGACCCTTTTGATTATATGAAGTCTGACAGTATTCCTAACTTTCATTTTCAATTTTGTCATCCTAATGCAAATCTTTCTACTTCTGCTTATAACTCAAGCTATTACCATGTTTGTCTGTTTATGCTTCCTTAACACCCAGCTGTCCGAACTGAATCAAGATGTAAATATTTCTCTATTTAGAAAGTGGTGCTGATCTATTAACTCTTATTTTCAAATGTTCTTTCCTTGCTACGTGGTTAAAGGTTTAGAATTAAGTCTTAGGACATAAACCATATAGTGCAACAACAATAAAAACTTTTATTTGTTAGTTTAATAGTCTCCTTTTTATTACTGAAATGTAAATTTAATGTGTCTTTGGGAACTATATTTTTTAAATATATTTTTATTGATTTCAGAGAGGGAGGGAGAGGGAGAGAGAGATACAAACATCAATGATGAGAATCATTGGCTGCCTCCTGCATGCCCCCTACTGGGGATCAAGCCTGCAACCTGGACATGTGCCCCTGACCAGAATCAAATCCAGGACCCTTCAGTCCCCAGGCCGACCCTGTATCCACTGAGCTAAAGCAGCTAGGGCTAAGGGAACTATTTTAATGTCACCTCAAGGAGTCCTTTTGAGAAAAAAATTACATTTGGCAACCAATGTTATTGTATTTTTTCAGTATCTCTTACTTCCCAGAGGATTCCTGTATGATTAACTTTTAAAACTGCAATATTAGAATCTAATGAACAAAATAAACTGATGTACAAAATAGATCCAGAGACATGGAAGTATGCAGCAGAGTGATGAATCTCAGAGGGAAGGCAGGGATTAATGGGGGAATTTATATGCATACATGCATGGCCTAAGGACACTGCTATAGTGTGGTGAAGGCCTAGGGGGTAGGTTATGAGATGGAGGGGGTCGATGGGAAAAAAAAGGGAGCATCTGTAATACTTTCAACAATAAATATAAATTAAAACAAACAACCTGCAACATTATTTTAGGATTTGAAACACAACCCAAGTCCTAGTCTCTGAACAGTAGCTACTTGAGGCACTATTGCTTCATTTGATGGATGCCTCAATTGAGAGTTAGAGTTTATATGTATAAAGAAGAGTGTATTTTGCTGTCATCTAGCCAGTGTTGGAATCTTTTATTTTGGTGTGATTTGTAGAATTTTGGGTGCCTTTTTACTTGACTAAATGAAACCATATTAGTATATGCTTTTAAAGATACCTCAGTAGCTTAATAGAAAATAAATGCATTTTACAAATTTGAAATAGGGGAGTCACAAAGTAATATTTTTGCAGTTGTGAATGTAAGGCACTTGGGGTCACCTCTCTTTTTTAAAAATATATTTTTAAATGTATTTTTAAATATATTTTTTTAGAGCGAGAGAGGGAAAAAAAAGAAACATCAATCAACTGCCTCCTGCACATGCCCCAACTGGGGATTGAATCTGAAACTTGGGATGTGCCCTGATGGGGAATTGAACCTGCCACCTTTTGGTGTATAGGACGACACTCCAAGCCACACTGGCCAGGGCTGAGGTCACGTCTCTTTAATGGGATCAGGTTGAAAGATGCTATTTGTTTTTATGGGGTTGTTAGATGGAATTAGGTATAGGTAATTTGAAGCAAAGTTTTTTAACATTTGAAAGAATTTTGTATATTATAGCAGGCTCTTATTTTAACTTAAACACGTATTTAGATTTATCACAGAAATTCTTTGGTTTCTAATCATAACACCCCTCTCCCACACTTTTTCTTTTAATTTGGAGGGCACGGAATATTGAAAAATGTAGTTTTCTGAGTTTTCCAAGGGCGAGAGGGAAGATAAATATTTGTGAGAACATATAAAAGTCCCTAATCAAGTGTAGGGCATAGAGCAAGGGCATATACACATGAATTCCCTCCTCATATTTCTTCTCCAGTCAGGTTATAAAGGAAATGTTAGAGAATTGTGGGATGTTTTTTGTTTGTGTGTTTTCTGATGTTACTAAAAAGTGACAATTGATTGTTACTGGCCGATTTCATGCTGACTAAGCTATATGCTCTTTGATTGTTGGAGGCCCATATAAAAATTAGGCCATTTGGGGCTGAAGGTTAAGAAAAGTTGAATTTCTAAATTTATATTTGCACATTCTATTGTATTTGGCAAGCTAGCACTAGTAGGGTTTAATGCTGGTCTGAAAGGACCCATGATCAAATATGAAATAAATTTAGCTTAAAGATTTTGGATTGACTCTCCTTTTTAGCAAACTGCACTGCATCATTATTAATCTGACTAGAGCAGGGGTGGGCAAACTTTTTGACTCGAGGGCCACAATGGGTTCTTAAACTGGACCGGAGGGCCGGAACAAAAGCATGGATGGAGTGTTTTGTGAACTAATATAAATTCAAAGTAAACATCATTACATAAAAGGGTATGGTCTTTTTTTTTTTAGTTTTATTCATTTCAAACGGGCCGGATCCGGCCCGCGGGCCATAGTTTGCCCACGGCTGGACTAGAGGCCCGGTGCACGAAATTCATGCACTGGGGGGGGGGGGGGTCCCCCAGCCTGGCCTGTGCCCTCTCACAGTGCAGGAGCCCCAGGATCTATCACCCCAAGAGGTAGCCCCCACCAGCCATCCGGGGCTCCTCGATGGATTGCCCCAAAGAGGTAGGCCTGAGCCAGGGGTCCCGCCTCCACGCCACACGGATCCACGGGACCCTCAGGCCTAGCCACATGGCCTTGCCCACCCGCGCGAAGCCTCCTGGTGATGGATTGTGAGGGCGTGATAACCATTTGCATATTAGCTCTTTATTATTTAGGATTACTTATAGAGAACAGTTAAATTTTCCTTAGGTGATTTTGTTTCTCCACTCAGGAGTAGATACTATTTTTCTTTGGCTTTTTTTTTTTTAAGTCATAAAATATCAGTTCTTTGTTAGCTGGCAGAAGATGTATAACCTTAAAACAACTATCTATGT